TGTAAGGACTAAATGTACAAAATGGAAATTGTAAAAGGATTTATGAGCCCAAATCTTCTCCAAAAATGTATATATAGATAAATTTTTATTATTGGGTTGTATAATAATCCGGTATAGAAAACTTTTATACCGTCCGGTTATAATAAATTGAGTTTCGGTTGAGATGGATGAATTTGATTTGGTTTTGTTATTCTCCATGTAATTCTGGTGAAATTTCGCCTTCTTCTTCTTCCGGCTTCCATTTCTCGATTTTGCGTCCTCATAGGCGATTGAAACATCTCTCAATTTCCCTCAGCTGGTTTCAAGGAAAACAACTCAAGGATTCAATTTGATTACGTGTCAGTGTAATGTTGCTTCTCTGCTCTGTGTAGCTGCAGCTGATAGAATAATCTCTCAAAGTTAGTATTTCGTAAGCATCTTCAGTTATGTAGTTGGAGATTTCATAAACAAAATCCTCAGTAGAATACTCAATTCCATTGGAGTTGAAACATTGAGTTTATTATTCTACTGGAATTTTGTTTATATAATTCCCCAATTTCATAATCATCTTCATCACATGCTGCTTATAGCCAAACAACCCTCAGAAGCATTATTCTTCAGTCTTAACAAAGGTAACTCCTTAGAATCTTTTGTTTGTGTGTGTGTGAAGCATGGTTAAATAATGTTTGTATGATATTGTTGTGCTCGATAATCACTTTTTTGGACTGATGCAGCCAATTGCCCAAGTTGTGGAAGCTTCTCTGGAAGATTACGAGGAAGCAGCCAAAATAAGGATGCAGGTTACGGCTCCTAAGAGAGGCGATACTGTGAGATCGATGCATTAAGATCCAAACTTGAATATCTTGGTCGTCTTCTTTCACTTGAAATGGGAAAGATCCTTGCTGAAGGCATCGGAGAAGTCCAGGTAGGTTTCTTTACTCTTCAAAGCTTAGTTTCTTTTTCATTGATACATTTACATTTTAGCTAACTTTGTGACGCATTTTACAAATATTACTCTGCAAAACATTTCAGGAAGTAATTGACATGTGTGATTTTACTGTGGGTTTAAGCCGACAACTCAATGGATCGGTTAATACCTTCAGTACACTTGCAAGATTTTTATATTTATTCTCCTAGATTTGATTTGTTATATCTTCCTCAAATATCTCCTTAAAGGCACTTGGAGTTGGAGATGCTTATTAAAAGATTTTTCTCTAAACTCAAATCATTTTTTTCTTTGCAGGCATTAACCACATGATGTTGGAGGTGAATTGCAAGTTTGTTTTGTCGGATTTTTGTGGATACATTTCTTAAGAGATGATTAACGTTCGGCTTGAACATTGTAACGCAGATGTGGAATCCTCTTGGCATTGTTGGTGTTATCACAACGTTTAATATTCCATGTGCAGTTCTTGGTAACACTGATGTCTCGTGAGATTGCTCATTAAAGTCTGCCATGCTTCTTCGTAGCTCTGCAATTTCATTATTTAATTCCCACATGAAATAGAGTTAGTTTAACCTACTCTTATTGTGACACCTAGATTTGCCACACTATGATTTAGCCATGTTGTGAAGCCATTGTTACTTATAAAATTTTCCTATAGCAATGTGTTACAGTGATATATCATTTAAGCAGATAGGAAACTAATAGTGCTAATGAAAGAAAGCAATGAAAACTTGTTCTACTAAGGATGATAGCTAAAGAGATCACATAAACAATTAAGACTGGTTTTAGCAATTTTTTGGTCGCCAGAAAAAAATAAATGGCATATTGGGATTTGAAGTAAAACTTATAAGTCAAAACGTTATTAAAATCTAGTAATCATTTGTAAGAAATATAGGTTCATTGGAGATGTCCTCTTCTAGTTGTTTCTTTCTGTGTAAGAAGTTTAAATCTTCTTGAGTTTGAAGAAAGTTCCCGACTCTGAGAAGTAAGTGCTTTGAATCCCACTGACTAATCCTAATGCCTGAGGATTGCACAACTCTATTCCTTGCACAAGAGTGAAAGCCAGACTTGATGTCGTCAAACCAGAGGTAGTAGAACCACCTGTGAACTGTCGCTTTTTGGCGACCTTAGCATTAAGTTTCAGCTTGCTCCCAGCCTGACCAAGCATTCCATATCCGATACCTAATCCATCACCAAGAGAGCTCTCTTCGGGTGTACCAAACGCCATCCGGTTGGCCAACTTTCTCATGTCTGTCACTTGATACCTTTCTTTCATTTTTCTTAGACGACGACCACCCCTTCTCTTTTTAGGCTCAGAATAAGGAACATGAAGTGGCTTAGGTTGCCTTGCAGGAGGAGGTTCTTGCCACTTGTCAATATTCTTGCGGATTTCCTCCCTCAAAGCTTTCCCGTTTGTTCCAGATGGATCTCCTCTAGTAGCATCAACTCTTGCTGCCAAAGTCGATTTTGAAGCCAAGAGTCTGCTATCGCGCATTCGAAGTTCAGGAGGCGTGCTTTGGAAAATCTCTGTCTGCTCCAAATAACCCGCACGAGACTGTGACATTGCAGTAGAGAATCCCATCTTACTTTCAACAAACTCAAGAACCTTTTTCCTTGCCGAATCAAGATCAATAGCGTGAATGATCACAAGCGTCTAACGTCTTTCGTAGGATACTATCTGGAAGTGGTTTCCCTTTTGTGGTTAATGCAGTAACTGAAACAGCAATAACAGTAGCTGGTTGAAGAAGGCCTTCCATATCAACAAGAGTTATATCTGTCTCATTGGCAATTTTTTTCACGACACGGGCGTAATCTATTGGGTCATGTACCAGCGACTCAAGCTCTGGGAACTTAAGTCTGTACTTGTCGCGGATAAAGTTGTGGACGATCACAATCTCATTCTCGATATCAGCTGAGAGCTGATTGCAATCAACGATAAGCTTGTCTTCCAATACAGTTCCCATCTCTGCTCCTCCATCTGAATCCTTCCCGAGATCCTGTTCCAGTTTATGCATTATATCAGCGTACCTATGAGTTTCCTGTAGCTTAGAAACTCTCGAGAGATCATCATAGTTTAGGGTTTCTAAGTCTTCCATGTCCATGTCAATAATGTCTTCCTCCTCTGTTCTAGCATCCAGTTCTGCTTCATTGTCAGATAACTCGTCAAGGTCTGCGTAGAAAGAATATTCAAGAGTTGCCATATATCTGAATTTGATCACCGATACCACGTCCGTGATTATGCTCTCTACGGTTAGGTCTGATGCTCCTGTCGATTCTCTCTTGTGAGAAGAAGACGATGTTTGGTTTTATATAAAAACCTCACGCACAATTAAAAACAAAAAAAAGGAAATTTCCTTTTTTCTTTCACTTAGGAAATAAAAGAAAATTTATTTATATAACACTGAAGTGGAATGGCATATTGTCATATTGATATGATTTTTAAAAACCCTTGTTTAATTCTCATTGATCATTCACAGTCATTTTCAGGTTTTGACCTACCCTCTATTTGTATTGTGATTATGTATCATATTCTCTGGTTGTGTGATGATGATTCTCAATAGAGCTTTTTATTGTTTGTTATTGTACAATTGTATAGATAAGCTTTGGACTAACAATGGATATTATTGCTGCAGTACTCTGTTTCTCATTTGTGACTTTGGGCTTTTATTCTGATGCTCTGACACATAATGCCTCTTCAAACGTAATAGTATCATATTCTGTTCCAGTTTATAACATGTGTCATCATGTCTATGTTGCAGATGAGTGCATATTTTGGTCCTGCCTAAGACGAAAAAGTCCAATACTTGCTGTGATTGAGCTTGGAATTGCAGTCATAGTGACATGTGTTAGTGTTTAGTGGCCATTTTTTCATTCTTTGGATGACTTCTTAATGGTAAAAACTAATCATTTTTCTCTAGAACTAATAATAACGTGTATATACTACACTACTTGCTTCCTCCTCTGATGTGTTTTAATTTCTGCAGTGCATGAAAATTCAATCCTGATGCCTTTTTCTCTCTGTAACACTATATTAGCTCTAAAAATCCCTGACCATTTCAATCATTTACCTAATTACGATCGAATTACATATCTTTTCTAATCAAAACGTAACAACCAAGTAATGAATAGAATCAAACCAAACGCAAAAAGACGACTAGATATAGAACTAAAAGGAATCAAGAACAACAAATATCATGAATCAAGTCATAGGGAGAAACCATAGAGCATCCTTGGGTTTCAAGTTGGCAAGATGAGGGAAGTGTTTGATGAGGGTGTTAGTTGCAAGATTAAACACACAGATTTCCAGATCAAAAGACATGCTGAAACGGACAATTTGGTCCAACCAGAAGCTTTAGAATGTTATTTGAAAATGTGTCCAGGATTCATTAAGATAATCCAGAAGATCCCCGACAATCGACGCATTAGAATCACTCCCCAGCGATCTCGAATCACCTTGAGAGGAGCAGAGGATTGGAGAGACGGAGGAGAAGGAGCGAAAGGGAGAGCGATGGAGAGAAGTAGGAAGAAAGAGAGATTGAGAGAGGAAAAAGGAAGAATTGAAGACAGAGGGGAGAGAATGGGTTAGTGGAAGACGAGCTATGGCCGCCATTAGCTCAGGATTCTAAAGATGAGATCTTTTTAATGTCTAAACTCTGTTTTCTTTCTCCCCTTTTGCCGTCTCCCAGTGCAGTTAATTTTCTTTAATATTCATTCTTTTACGTTTTCACTGTTTTAACTTTTGCATTTAAAGCAGAAAAGATTACGTGTTTTTTTAAAAAAAAATAGAAAAACGCATTTTCAATTAAATATCTGTTCGGTAATTATTATTCTCAGTTGCAATTTTGTCATTTTTCGTAATAATTTCAATTGTCATTTAGTAATAAACTAAAAAGGAAACATGACAGGAAAAAGTAGTCAAAAAGTATGCACGTAATAATAGTCAAAACAATGACTGGTATAGTCTCCTTTTTGGCGAAATTCTCTAGTGGGAAAGCTGAAAAAGGGAAATTGCTACGAAACATCATGAGTGGGTCCTTGGCATTTTCACCTACATAGTTTTCACTCGGGCGAGCCTTTTCATCTCACAGTCTCTCATCGGCTTATTCATGGCAGAAGCTATCGGCGGCGAACTTGTGAAGGAGCTGGCGAAGCAGCTCTTTGCGGTATCCAAGAAACCCTACATGTGCAGAGGCATAGCTAAGAAACTCGCCACCATGATCGATGAAGTTCAACCCACGATACAGGAGATCATGGATAGCGGCGTCGATCTGAGCCACCATCGCCAGGCTCAACTGCGTATGTTATTCGACAACCTAGAGAAGTGCAGGATGCTTACCGAAAAGGTTCTGAGATGTAAACGCTGGAACGTGGTTCGACAGATTAAGGACGTTAAGAAAATGGAGGATCTCGACAAAAAAATCTCTAGTTTTCTTAGAGGAACACTGTTGATCCACGTTCTCTGTGACGTTCATCATCTCCGGGGGGCTGTTGATCGACTGAACGAGAGCGTCGATAGGCCTGTGCAGGTGACACATGTACTCGATGACTGCGTTCGTCATCTCCGGCATACTTCTCAAGTGAGATTAATTGATCGGATTGATAGGAGTGTAGATTGCGGTTTAGGATTGGATTTGGGCAAGGGGAAGGTGAAGGAGATGTTGTTTAATTTGAAGGATGAGGAAAGACTTATTGGGATCTCAGGGATGAGTGGTTCAGGGAAAACCACTCTTGCCAAAGAGCTTGCGCGGGACGAAGAAGTTCGAGGTATTAAGTTCTGTTTAGCCTTTTGTGATTGCTTGTCTCTTATTCAATTGCTTGCTACGTCTTTTGTTTGTGATCTATGATGTTGAAGTTGCCTAGTTATAGTTGAGTTCTCGATATTGGACACTGGCTCAAAATCGGAGAGACTGTTTCGTTAATGCTAAAAAAGGTTTTCATTTGCTGCTTTTACAGCCCACTTTGGGAACCGGATTTTGTTTCTGACTGTGTCACAATCTCATTCTCGATATCAGCTGAGAGCTGATTGCAATCAACGATAAGCTTGTCTTCCAATACAGTTCCCATCTCTGCTCCTCCATCCGAATCCTTCCCGAGAGCCTCTTCCACTCTCTGCATTATATCAGCGTATCTATGAGTTTCTTGTAGCTTCGAAACTCTCGAGAGATCATCATAGTTTAGGGTTTCTAGGTCTTCCATGTCCATGTCAATATTGTCTTCCTCCTCCTCTGTTCTAGCATCCAGTTCTGCTTCATTGTCTGATAACTCGTCAAGGTCTGCGTAGAAAGAATTTTCAAGAGTTGCCATATATCTGAATTTGATCACCGATACCACGTCCGTGATTATGCTCTCTACGGTTAGGTCTGATGCTCCTGTCGATTCTCTCTTGTGAGAAGAAGACAGATGTTTGGTTTTATACCAAAACCACACCCACGAAATAAAAAAAAAAAAGCAAATTTACTTTGGGAACCGGATTTTGTTTCTGACTGTGTCACAATCTCCCAATCTTGAGGAGCTTAGAGCCCATATATGGGGATTTCTTACTAGTCATGAGGCTGGTGTTGGTGCCACTATTCCGGAATCGATTGGTCAAACACAGAAGCTACTGATTCTTGATGATGTTTGGACAAAGGAATCTCTGGACCAGCTCATGTCCAAAAATACTCATGGATCCACAACTCTTGTGGTCTCACGGTCTAAACTCGCAGATCCTAGAACCACCTATGATGTAGAGTTACTCAATGAACATGACGCAATGTCTCTATTCTGTCTCTCTGCTTTCAACCAGAAAATAGTCCCTTCCGGGTTCAGCAGAAGTTTGGTCAAACAGGTAATGGGTCTGCTACATGTCATTCATGCATAGTTATTTTTTTTTTTTGCTTTCAGTACTCATATTGACTCTATTTGATAGGTTGTTCATGAGTGTAAAGGTCTACCTTTGGCTCTGAAAGTCATTGGCGCTTCATTAAAAGACCGACCTGAAAAATATTGGCAAGGTGCACTGAACAGGTTATCAAGAGGTGAACCGGCTGATGAACACCATGAGAGTAGAGTGTTTTCTCATATGGAAGCAACTCTGGAAATTCTCGATCCAAAAACCAGAGAGTGTTTCTTGGATCTTGGTGCTTTCCCTGAAGACAAAAAAATCCCTCTTGATGTTATCATCAACATGTGGGTTGAACTACATGATCTCGACGAGGAAACTGCTTTTTCCATTCTTTTGGATTTATCAGACAAGAATCTCCTTACTCTCGTGAAAGATCCAAGGTTATAAGAACTCCGTATGATCTAAATCTCTTGTAGCCACTTTAAGATTTATTAAATTGTGCACAATTCTTGCAGGTTCGGCGCTTTGTACACTGGCTACTATGATACATTTGTGATGCAGCACGATGTTCTAAGAGACCTAGCACTAAGTCTTAGCTATCGTGGGAAAATAAATAGAAGAAAGCGGTTATCAATGCCGAAAAGAGAGTTGTTTCTTCCCAGAGAATGGGAGAGGAGCAATGATGAACCATACAATGCACGGGTAGTTTCCATTCAGACAGGTTAGGATCTTTGAATAACTTGTCGTGTAGGTCACTAGAATCATAACAAGGTATTAATATAGGTCTCTGTTTTTTTTTTTTTTCTTACAGGCGAAATGAATGAAATGGACTGGATTGACATGGAATTCCCCAAGGCAGAAGTTCTAATATTAAACTTCTCCTCAGACAACTACGTATTGCCACCTTTTATTGCAAAGATGGGCAAGCTTAGGGCGCTCTTAGTTATCAACAACGGTATGTTTCATGTCCGTCTAGAAGACTTCTCCAGTTTCACTAATCTGTCCAAACTGCGGAGTCTCTGGCTCGAGATGGTTTACGTCCCCCGCAGTACGATCCCACTGAAGAACCTCCAAAAGCTGTCCCTGATCTTCTGCAGGATCAACACTGGCGTTGATCAGACAACACTGGACATGAACCTAATCTTCCCAAACTTGTCTGATCTCACAATAGATCATTGTGATGATCTGGTTGAACTACCTTCGACCATCTCTGGGATCACCTCTCTCAACTCCATCAGCATAACAAATTGTCCCTATGTCGGTGAATTGCCTAAGAATCTGAGTAAGCTAATGGCCCTTGAACTTCTAAGGCTATACGCTTGCCCGGAGCTGAAGTCTCTGCCTGAAGAACTCTGTGAGCTGCCGAGTCTGAAATACCTTGACATCTCTCAATGTGCCAGCCTTAGTTTTCTTCCCGAAGAGGTAGGAAAGTTGAGCACGCTTGAGAAAATTGACATGAGAGCATGTCCATTACTGAGGCTACCGAGCTCTGTGGTTTCATTGAGTTCTCTATGCCATGTCATTTGCGACAAGGAGAATTTGTGTATGTGGGAAAAGATTGAGAAAGCAGTTCCAGGACTTCTTGTTGAAGCCGCAGAAAATTGTCTGGATTGACTCAATGGGTTGGTGCTTGATCTCCTAATAACATGTTGTATAAATAATTCAATGCTGATCCGTAGCATGTTTTGTATTGTATTATATTCCATCATCGAACTCAAGAGTCAGTGCAGTCTTCTTGCCCCTCATCTTATTTTTTACTTAAAACGTAACTCTTTTTGGTGAACGTATAAAACTACAAAAAATCGTAAAATAATACTAGTATTCATTTAATATAAGTATCATGTTATTCTTTTGTTACCAGAATAAATTAATTTATATAACCAGTTAATCAATTTTGTGCCTTGCCATAAATAATAGAACGTGATGGCCTCAATTTGCAAAAAACAAAAGTCTTTCTTTATTGGGTCTCCGTAGACTTTAAAGACCAAAGGTAACTGCAACGAAGCTTCGTTAATGGGTTCCACAACGTCACCTACTTGTTACTTGTTTTGTTTTTTTTTCTTAGTTGCTTGTTACTACACTCCTCCTACTTACCTTTTCTTCTCTCCACTTATCTCTCTGTTTCTCATCGGCCTTCCCAATCCCATGGCAGATATCATCGGCGGAGAAGTTGTGACGGAGCTCGTAAAATAGATTGTGTTTGGTTGGATACCAAGGGCATGGTTAGCAGGCACAGTAATACTGTAATACCCAAGTCGAGAAGCAGGCAAGATCGGGCAATTTGGTCCTCTGGGTCAGCATTAGGAGCCTTCTTGTAGATACAGAAGCAGAAGACCATTTCAGAGGTTGTGGTTGTGACCAACAAAACCTCTCCGGCTGTGGTAACCGCGATGCTAAAATAACAACTATATCCAAGAGGAGAAAACATTGGGGATGTGTCACTCCCAGTGAGTTCTTCCAAACCTTGCTGCCCAGAAAAATCTATGACTCGAACGGAACGACGAGACGTTAAGATGTATAGACGGTAACCCGAAGAACAAGACCAAGAACAAGGCCAGTTAATTTCCTGGGAACTCCATAGGTAACTGGAATGAGATCGTAATGAGCATTCCCTTTCTTGTAAAGACATACAAAACAAGCAGGGGCGTCAAAGAACCACACTAAAGCCAACTCTTTCGTCTCCTCGTCTACCCACAAGATGTCCCCTGATTTCATCCGCATATAATGAGTAATAAGAGCCATTAGTAGATTCAAATTCAAACTCCTTATCTCTATCTTCCATACGCTTCAGAGCAGAGTAGTTCGATAAAAGCGACTCTAATGGAGGAAGATCAATCCTATTCCCACTAAACACATGTATAATATATAATCTGGATCGAGAATCTAGCATCAACAACCATTTACCGCAGCTTGCCAGGAATCGACTCCCTGAACAGTCTCTCTTTGTCTTGTAAACCGCTTTTTCGTATGGATTGCAAAGCAAGCAACCACCGTCGTCTGGAAAAAGCATTAGCCATGGAGTTCCGCTTTTCCGGTGAACTGTTTGTTTTGAACCAGAATACCAGTAGGAACAAACCATCTTAGCTCGATGGAAATCCACATAGCTCAAACGTTCAAACAGAGATATGAGGATATCGAGAGTGAGGTTCGACCAATTGCTAGGGTTAGTTAGTAGTCTCCATAGTGTTGATAGGTAATAGGTTTATGTTTGGTTTGATTCTTTGCAGCAAATTTCTATGATCGTTGTGGATGCTCTTCTTCAGACAAGACTTATGGCAAATCAAGCCATCTCATACCCGTACATGTATCTCAAACTCTCCTCCTCCTCTGGGCTTACACATTACAATTGGGCTGCGGCCTATTGGTTTCAATTTTATATTTAGTTTCAAGGTTCAATATTGTTGGGTAGCTGACTAGTGGGAGGACTGTAAAAACTATAAACATTAGAAACTCTTACTAGTGTATTTTAAAATTAATGCATCAAAATTTTATATGTATAAAAAAGTAGGTTTGGTTTCACCATAGAGAATATGCTAATGCTGTAAACAAATTCGTCAATTATTTTATTTTTAATATATATAAACAAACATTTTGTTTATACTTAGTGGTAAAATTTAATATTTGAATTTTTGATAAAACTGGTTTTGGCAAAATTTTAGAATATTCATGTTTTTTTTTTTTTTTTTTTTTTTACTTTGGTTTGCAAGATAAGTTCCCGTCTCCGCTTCCTTTTGAGTTGAAGTTCTTATTTCTTAAAGATATGGACGATTTATGAGTTCCACTTGTCTGACGTATCTATCTTTCTCGTGTCGTGGATTTTCGGTTCGAGATCCAACATTAACATCACAACAGTTGATAGTTTGATGGAACATTTGTTCATGCTAATCCAAGAAGTCTGATGTGGACATTAGAACCACTCACCAAAAGGAGCTAACCAAACCAGCCATTTAACACACCATTCCATTCGAAACAAGCTTATAAGGATAATTTTTGTACAAGTCAAATCATGATCAAGCAAATGGCCTAGGCTTAGATATTCCCCAAGGAATATATCCTAAGAAGAATAATGGTTCGGGTGAAGTCATTAACCAACAAACCAAATTGCCAAACGGACGTGGGGGCTTATAAGGACTAGTTTACAAGCAAGGCGAGCTGCCAAATGGAGATTCTCTTCAACCAATGGATCTTGGCTTTTTTTTGCATCCGTACACTATATATTCTAAGGAGAATGATCAAAGAAATTCATCCTTGGTTCGAGCTAGTTTAAGAGTTTACCATGGAGGTCCAAAACTGGGTGTAAATAAGAAAACTTGTGAACCCACCTTATCATCAGCTGAAGCCACGACTTGGAGACTTTCTAAGATTAGAGGGTTCTCTTTTAACCTAGGAAGTCGTCCATATTCACCCCAGCAAGCTGGAGTTGCAAAACAGCAAGTTAAATCTACATTTGCCTTATTTGAGAGTGTTCACACCTATATTCACACTCAATAACTACTTTCTCAAAACTGTCGTGTTTTGAAGTCTCACTAGTGTATAAGAGCAACTCCATCCTTTAGATATCCCAAAAAAATATCTTAACATTAAAATATTATTATTTTAAAACATTTCAAGTATTTAATCAAATTTTAAATTTAAAATTAAAATTAAACCATTTCGATGATGACATGTGGGATGGGAGTTTCAAGTGGATTTTTTAAGGGTTCTTCTTTTAAAACTGTTTCTTTATTCTCTTTCCCACTTTTTTTTTTAATTATTTTAATGCAAAATATCTAATTTAGATACTTGCACCGCACCACACCACACTTGATCATATGGATTCAAAAGAGACCAAACTTGTCCTTTTTTAGAGTCAAATGCAATCAAGCTACAACGGCTCTTTCTCTCTTTGATTGTGCGTGTTTTGAAGACCCTCTTTTACATCTAGAGACTTCCAAAGGTGAGCTACTTCCTCTCATAGCTCTCAAGATACGAGCCAACAAAACATTCCATATTTTGATGATTTTCTCTTAAAGCCTCAAACGGCTATTTTCTTTAAATTTTAAGATTCTTTTCTTAATTTAGGTTTTTATAACCGTTGTCTATATGCCTATAAAAGCTCAACTCCGTTTTCATGTAAAGCACATTTTATCAATTTTTTTTTGTTTTTTCTTTTCCATTCAATAAAACCCAGTTTTTTACAAAGTGTTATCTTTGAGTTTGTGTTATTGTCTTTAAAATTTAAGTGGGTGATATACTTCTTTTCTATTGAATTTGCGGATTAGGATTGTTTCTGTGAAGCAAACTCTCTAATTTGCGGATTAGGATTGTTTAGACAGTTAAATTTTGACTCGGTTTTGTCCACCTGTAGACCGTAGTGTTGTTCTACATCGTAGATCTGGTGAAATTTTGCTTTCTTCTTCTTCTTCCGGCATCTATTTCTCGATTTCGCCTCCTCATATTAAAGGAATCATCTCTCAATTTTCCTCATATTCTCTATCTCAATCGGATTCAATTTGATTCTATATCAGTGTAGTTTCGGTTGATAGAATAATCTCTTAACGTTTTTGAGTATTTCATATTTATATACAAGTTGTCACTAACATTGCTTCAAATCTTTTATTGATTTTCTTTTGGATCTCAAATGTTATTTGGATTGTTATTCTCAGAATATTTGTTTTTTTCTCATTATCATCACTGCACTTTTTTTTTTGGATTCAACAGTACATTTTTCAAGGAATTGGATAAGCATCTATAGTAATGTAGTTGGAGATTTCATAAACGAAATCCTCAGCAGAATACTCAATTTCATTGGAAAAAATGGAAAAATTGGGTTTCATATTCTGCTGGGATTTTGTTTATGTAATCCTTAATTTCATAATCATCTTCATCACATGCTGCTCATAGCTAAAGAACCCTCAGAGGCATTATCCTTTAGTCTTAAGAGAGGTAACTCCTTATAATCTTTTGTTTGTGTGTGTGGGATGAGAGTTTCTAGTGGATTGCTTAGACCATCTCCATTTCATAACTTTTGTTGGTGTCTTAACATAAATATAATTATAAAATACTAATATTATATTATGGGTGTTTTAAAAATAAGGAAATTTTGCTCTCTAGAGCACTTTTATGAAACTCCTTATAATCTTTTGTTTGTGTGTGTGGGATGAGAGTTTCTAGTGGATTGCTTAGACCATCTCCATTTCATAACTTTTGTTGGTATCTTAACATAAATATAATTATAAAATACTAATATTATATTATGGGTGTTTTAAAAATAAGGAAATTTTGCTCTCTAGAGCACTTTTATGAAACTCAATCTCTTAATAGAACACATTGGGGGTAGTGAGTACTTATTTAAGTTTTTTTTACTGTAATACCCTCAAACTATGTCTGGTTACGTTTTCATCTTCTCATTTACTCTAGATATTTCATAAAAAAAAATTAAAATAATTATTATGCTTCTCTTCTCTTCTCTCTCTTCTCTCTTTCTTTCATTTTTTCGGAAGCCTAACAAATAACAAAAAGTCTTTCTGTCGGAGAACCACCGTCGTGCGATCAATTGCACTCGCGCGTTCATCATTGTCCATCAATCTAAGCTGGAAAACTTTGTTTAGATCCACAATCTGTATTTTTTTCGATGGCGCTACTTGCAAAAACGACAAGGTTACTTCGATTGATCTCGATTTCAAGCCTCTCAATGTCGGATTTAGTGCCATGGCTTCATCTCTCACCGGTTTTGAGTCTCTGTTTCTGGCTTCAAGTGCTCTGCTTCTCTTACGAGCTTGGATCTATCACCGGAAAGTGCAATGAAGCGGCGGTTTGAGAAGACGGAGATCAATCACCGGTAACGACAATGCCGGACTTGGAGGAAGATTTGGCTTTCACCGGTAACAACCACGCCAGACTCGGAGGAAGATTTGGCTTTTGTTTGATTTTCCCGATCAAGAATGTGAGAGAGAAGAATAAAGAGAATTAAAAAAATTAAGATTTTTTTGTTTCCATGTTTTGATCGATTTGGATGAGTGAATCAATTTAGTATTGACTATTTGACACATTAACCTGTAGATTTCTCCGATGTTCTACCTAATTATAAAAGTCAAGTCTTGTTCCTCGAGAAAAATTGAAAATTAATACTCGTATCAACATCACAAACGATGCCCTCCAAATGTTCGACATAATTTCATGAAAGACATTCTTGGTTAGATAAACCAGGCAAATCATATTTCAGCTACACAAGCACAATCACTAATGATGGACGGTATAACAAATCTGAACGGAGGCTACATAAGTTACCAAACATGAATGAACAAATTCTCATCCCTGACAATCCACAAAGAAGTGTTCATTAGGATACCATAGGTGACAATGTATCCATGTAGCATCGAACAAATGGATATACACTTTTAGGTTACAGTGTATCTACATAGTAGAGAACAAATAGATATGTACTAGAACAGGTTATTGTGTTGTTTAAGGAGATATGTAAATCCAAAAAAATTCCTCTGATCCACTACTACTTTCTCATTTTCTATGAAACCAATTTTGATACTAGTCAAATGTTTGGTTGAGAATTTGTTGTTAGAACCTATCAGACAACGATGGGTACCTAAAAGAGAAGTCTAATAATTTTGATACTAGTCAATGTTTTAAAGAAAAAAGTCTAAGATTCTTTATGTGCTCAATATATATTTTTAAATAGTTGTTTATGTAAATTTTAATGTAAAATTAAAAAGACTCTAATTTGTCTGAAGTTTCGATAGGAATGAAAAAAATATTTTTTTAGAGTGAAGAAGTAAATTAGACCTATATTGAAATGACCATGTGGTCAGAGTTTGGTGGATGTGCGTATATGGTCCGTAATTCGAAATGAATGTGTTGTAAATTTTGATGTAAAATTATAAGAGACTGTCATGTGTTCAAGATTATGTGGATAGTTTAGATTTTATCCCTTAAATATTTTTTGTGTCAATAACTTCCTACATTTATCTCAATCAATCGCCGCTATTATTGTTGACTATTTTATATGACATATTATGGATGCCACATAATAGATGGCGTATAATGGTTGTCGTATTATGCATTATGAATTTATGAATGATGATGTATAGAAAAAATATTATGGAAGCCTTTA